TGTTGCAAGTCGGGAGCGTGAGTTGTATTTATGTGAAATTATCCCTATATTTAACTGAATATTTAAAGATGAATTTCAAAAAACATTTGAAGACGAGTTTCAAAATTGAAAAAGTAAATTTTACCTCCTTTTCAAGTAAAAAAATATTTTCTTTCACAAAACTGTAATATTTTTGAAGTGAAATGCATGTCCAATACAAATTAAATTTTCATACAACTTTTTTAACTCCAACTTCAATTTTCTTTTTAATCACACATTTTTTAATGACCAAATATCTACTAAAATTCCCTTACCCCTAAGGTGAAAATTTGGCAGCATCAATTGTCTCCTTCAACGGTTGTATTTAGTTGTCCCTATGTATAGTTTCTTCCTCCTAGTCTAGATCGTGAATTAACGGCTATAATAAGAGGGAGACTCTATCTTTTTTTTTTTTCTCCTTAACTTTGTCCATTGGTTTACAGCTCGTTTGGATTAAGCTTATGTCAAATAGCTAATAAGTTTTAATTACTAAAGAATATTATAAAAAGCAAAAATTGATCTTATTATAAGTAGTACTAGATAGAAGTGTTAAAACGGATAAAAAAACAGTTGATGTGTTTGATTAAGATGCCACTAATAAACTATTCTTTTGTTAAAAAAACTACAATACCCTTAATTTTATTTTATTTTTACAAAAACTATAAATTTAAAAGTATATTCGTAAGAAAAAGGAGAAAAAACATATATGGAGTGCTTTGACCAACTTATGACTTTAGGTTAATTTTGGTGTATATAAGCCAAAATGTGCTATTAAACAAGTTTGACTACCTTATAAGTAAATTTAAAACAAATGCCTTCTTAAACTGGTACAGCAACTTAAAGCATGTTAAAATCTTTTAAGACATCCAAAGGCACGGTAAATGTGACAATATGATGATCGATTTTTTGAAAGAAAAAAAAAACACGAAGTTGACCTAAAAATTCATTTAAAAAGGTATATATTAAAGACCTACGATCTCGCTGAATTCAAGTAAAATATTAAAAATAAACCACCATAAATGCAAAGATGTAGATAAGACAAAATATTTGAGATTAATTAATATTAGGTGTTGGAATTATACTTACATTAGATCTTCTTTGTGTTATAAGCCTTTTTAATTTGGTTAGAAATTTGTATATTAATCTTGTAGGAATTATAGATACGTACAGTGAGACGTTGAAAACTTGTAGACTTAGAAATTGGTAAAAATAGCACGGTATTGCCATTTTTCGGACTGGTCATTCAAAAATAGCCAGCATTTACGAATTCAATGAAAAATAGCCACTATTTTGCTGCAATAGAGATCGATCCAGCATAATATACTGGAGTTCGGTGCACCTGTGTATGAACTCCTGCATATTATGCTGAGCCGGTATACTTTGTTGACTCCAGTATATTATACTGGACAATTATACTTGTTGGAACTCCAGTATATTATGCTGGAGTTCTAGTGTACGTATGCTGGAACTCTATCATATTATGCTGGAGTTCCAGCATAGTTATCCTGGAACTCTAGTATAATATGCTGGAGTTCAAGCATACTTATGCTGGAACTCGAGTATAATATACTGGCGTATTTTTCGGGTTTTGAACATTATTTTCGCTAAGATTTATCTTTACATGAAAAGTGGCTAAATTTTGATTACTTTTAAAACTGGGCTATTTTTGAACGACCAGCTGTAAATCTGACTATTTTTGAATTTCACCCTACAAATTGTTTTAGGAGGATAAATTATTGAGTATTAAAATGAAATTGACCCAAATAAAGCGGACTAGTACAAAGATTACAAAAAGTTATATAGATCGACCCAAATTACTTTGAGATGGGTGTGAAACTTCAAATATCACATATTTCTCGAATTTCCTAAAAATATTACTCCATAGTTTAGATTCCCTGAACTCATGGAGGCATGGTCGGATGTTGACATTAGGGGTGTACATAGGTCGGGTTGGTTCGGGTTTTGTAATTACAAAACCAAATCAATTGTGTCGGTTATTAAATTTAAAGACCAAACCAAACCAATATGACTCGGATTTTTCAATTTCGGTTTTTCTCGGGTTTTCGGGTTATTTGGGTTTTTTCCGGTAAAATTTTCGTAGCACAAAATATATAACTTGTGCTCAAAATATTTCTTTAATCCTAGTAAGATATAACTATATAAGGTATTTTTCAAGAAAATAATACAAAATATGAGATGTGTCATGATTTTGTAGCATTAGTATTGATTTAATTTTGGTTTGGGCTTTGTTAGCATTATTTAAGTTACTAATATCAATAGCTATAAAACTTATTGGAACAAAAGTTCTAAGTCCAACCTTGAAATAATAATACTTTAAAAAATAAAATTATAAAAAAGTTTAAGAAATATTTATAAATTACATCACAATAAATATATTTATATATTAAATATATTTAAAAAATTTATATATGTAATGTCGGGTTGGTTTGGTTTCGGTTTGACTTTCTTTAGTTAAAACCAAACCAAACCAATTATGGTCGGGTTTTTTTTTTCCAACACTAAACCAAATCAAACCAAACCATAGTCGAGTTTTTTTTTCTCGGTTTGACTCGAATTATCGGGTTGGTGCGGTTTGTCGGTTTCCTTTGTACACCCCTAGTTGACATAAAGAGATGTAGCATACAAAAATGATAATAGAACCCAATACTCTACATAATAACAGGTAAGATTATGGTAAATTAATTGACCATAATATAATCCAACTATTATAATACAATATATAATACTCTTCCCTTGTTACAAAATATATTCCATAAATATAAATATCCGTTTTGATACTCTAACAAAAACATGTTGAACAAATCGAATTGTTCCAATCGCCATTTAGAATAATTGACACCATTAAATTGATCAAAATGGAAAATGCGCGCAGATATACAAGTGAGGATACGTGGTGTCCAAATTTTCATTTTTTCAAGAGACAACAAAGAATAGGCAAAAATGAAAAAGCTGTCGAACAACAAGGAGGCATGTAAAGTTGTAAACAACTAAATATAGAGAAGAGTTAAACACATTGAAAAGGAACCAAAGGATGAATACAAAACGTGGCTGAAAATTGATTAGGGTAATGGATGAAAGGTGCATATTGAATAAATGATTGCACCCATTTTGTCTTCAAAAAATCTTTCAAAAAACAAAGCCAACAACGAATAGTTGTTTTATACTTGCTATGTCCAAATTTAAGTGACGCTTTTCGATTTTCAAGATTCAAACTTTTTAATTTTAAATATATAATTAAATATATAATTTTTTAATTTTTCAAAGTAAAATTTATGCATATTCGAAAATTACGTAGAAAGTACTACTGAATTATAATAATTAATAATTCAAAATATTTATAAAAAATAAAAAGTTACGATCAAAAAATCATTCATTTGGCTCTCGAAATTCAAATACTTCCACATAAATTAGAACGGTTGGAGTAGTACAAAACCAGGAGTGCAAGTTAGTTTAAAAGTTCACCATAAAAGAAAAAAAATTAAAAGGAAATAGTCACCCAAATGAGTTTGGTGTCTTTTAAAAAAGGAATACGATAACGAAGAAAGAAGAAAGTGACATGTTAACCAATGTATTAGGTTGAAGATTACAATTTTTGAATACACTTTGTACCTTTCAAATTGAGATAATCCTAGCATTTACTCTACTCTTAATACTTTTTCCTATCATCCCAACCTCTGCCCATTTTCTTTAACACAAGTTTTGACTTTTAAATCCAAATTAAATACGATTGAATGGCCCTTAATAACAACATCAGGCAATTATTACGCAATAAGGCCTCTTTTAAATTAATTAATAGCCTTATTTAACGTACCAATAACTAATTTAATCATTTTTAATGTATTGTATAATTAAATTTAAATTATTTTGTCTTCTAAAAATGTAAATTACCACCTACTGAGTGTAGAAATTAAAGGAAACGAACGGTAGAGACTTTTACAACTATTGGACAGATTCGCTCTTTAGATGTTTGCATGCAACTGATCAAGAATGCCCTACATTTTTTTTGATTTCTCGTCCAATGTTCGGTATTTGTATTGGAGCCCGATTATATTCAGATTTGCGTCGTGTAGAGCCCCACTCGGGAGAAAGCGCTCCTTACCAAAGATTTTTCCATACCCAAAGCTCTAACCCGAGACCTATGATTAAGAGAGAACCAGTCTCATTCATTGCACCACATCCTTTGGTGGTGAAGGCCCTACACTTGCTGTAGGTTAATTAGTAAAAGTATATACGTTCATAAATATGTGTAAAGTATTCTGGTATGTTCTATCCGTCCCATTTTAGTTATCGCTTTTACTCAAACATTTAATCTAAAATAATTAATTATTATTTTAGAATTTCAAGACTAAATCTTTTTATTGTTCCAACTATACCCTTAATATTAAAAAAATTAAATATTGCTCAATTCTGAAAAAAGCTTTTAATAGGAATAACTTAATAAATCATACTTTGTATTTTCTCCGTTCACTTTTACTTGACATGTATACTAAAAATAAATTTTTATTTTACTTGTCACTTTACACATATCAAGAGAAGATAATTTTTTTTCCAGTTATACCGATAATATTTATTACTTATTTTAACTTATTTTCTCAAGTTCAATAAAATATGCATCAATTAATATGAGTATAATGATAAATTGTGTACTTTATTTATATTTTTTAAGGTGCCTGAAAAATCAAAACGTGTCAATTAAAAATGAATGGAGAGTATTTTTTTAAAAGACGTGAAAAGAGTTAAAAAGGAACAGAAGCAGTATATTACATTATTTACATACAAACTCATATGACTAGTTGACTGAATCGTAGAAATTATCCAAATGTTTAAAACAGAAAAGGAAAAAAAAAAAAAAAAAATAACAC